TCCCTACATCAATAAATCAACAAATAATAATAAATAATGTTACATACTTTTCCTTTTTCACATGTTTGGTCAGGCTGATGTTGACAAGAGTGGAACTATTGATTATCAAGAGTTCATCACAGCCACTATAAACCGACACAAACTTGAGAAGGAAGAGCATTTGTATAAGGCTTTTCAATATTTTGATCAGGATAATAGCGGGTCAGTATGAAGTTAATTAATTTCATCCTTACACATATTGGATTATTGCTTAATTTTAAGGTCAAAATTTTGGTTCAGCACCATAAGATATTGTTGGTGTTCTCCAACTAGAATTGGAGTTCCACCTCAGTAATATACTTATATTACTGAAATAAAACATCAATTATGATAACAGAACAACACTGTCAATGTGCTTAAATTTTGTCCTGATTTTAATACATTAATTGACATAAGATTTTTTTCCTATTTTATTGTGTATTTTCTATGGTTCTTGCTTAACTCAAGTTCTGTTTTGCTGACTTTGTTCAGATATATAACAAGAGATGAGCTTAGACATGCTTTGACTGAATATCATATGGGAGATGAAGCAACTATAGATGAAGTCATCGATGATGTTGACACTGATAACGTATATTACATAATTTATCTTATATTGGCTTCTCAAATTTTTGTTATGATTTATTTAATAGTTGTGCACTTGTGCTCTCAATTTGACTTGTAACTTATGGTTGGGCTTAATTAATTTCCATTTGCAGGACGGGAGAATTAATTACCAGGAATTTGTTGCTATGATGAGAAAGGGTATCCTGGATATTGATGAGAAAGAGAAACAACGATAATTATGTGATGCATTGACATGAAGACAAAGTGGTTTCTGGTTTTTTCTTGCTGTTTTCTGCTGAGGATTGAATCACTCCTGAATTTGTTAACGTGTGTACTCCATGTAAAATTTTATGGCATTCCAAATGTCAAACTTTGTATAGCTGTTTCAAATAAACTACAATATGTGAAAAATAAATAAAACTGTAATTCCAAGACATTCTTACACTACAAATTTGATTGCACGTTTGTCTCCTCACGGATAAGGTTATTTATTCATACCATTACTGTTATTTTGTAAAAAGATGTTTGAAAAAGTAGAACTTTGATTAAGAGTAGCAAGTAGCAACACATCTTTGCATTTTACTATCAGTTAAAATTCATCAGAAATTTCAGAATCAAGAGAGAAGGTTATTAAATGAAAAATAAGAATTACCAAAATTTGTAATTTTTATTAAACTTAAAAATAATAACTAATGTATTAGACCTGCTCTAAAATACGGGATTGACTTAGTGTTCTCAGATTTAATTCTCGTCTATACTAAAATAATGTTTAATTAGCGAAAGTCACGCTTTATAAACGTTAATTAGTCATTGATTATCAATTTTAAAATATTGCGTAGACTGTATCCATGAACTAGAAAAAGAAAGTAACTTGGATTGATGCAAATGAAGAAAAACTCATTTCATTTAAACAAGTGATCAAAGTTAGTCTCCTAATTTTTGTGAATGCATAAAACTCAAGATATTTACTTATTCGAAAACTTTCAAGAAAATTGTCTCTGTTTAGAGAATATTCTATATATGATAATGAAAAAAATGTGTCATTAATATTTCTTATTTGACTAATTAAATTTTTGTTCACAATATGTGGTGGGAGAAAATAGATATTCATTTTTTTTCTGGGAGAAAATGGAATATTCATTTTTTTTTCTAAAATCTTGACACATTAATTTGTTCAATTTTTGTAAAATTAAAATTCTTTCTTGTATGATTATCTTTAATTTTATTTACTTTTTTTTTTCATGAAGAGCAGTGGTCATTTTTTTTTCTTTTCTAAAATAAACCTTACGTATTCTGCGTAAGAGATAATTCTGTTCAAGCTGAGATGTTGGGAACTTGGGACAGAATGTTTCTTTACGCGCTAATATTGAATAAGAGATGATTTTTTTCATTTAAAAGATAATTGCTAATACATCAAAATTCTGAAATATGTATATGTAAAACTTTTTCCTCCTTTTAATTGACATTTCTTTTTGTTCTTGGTAAAGTTTAACATATATTATTTATGTTTATATTTTTATTATTAATTACTACACTTGTTATATAATTGGGTAATACATTATCGAGAGGTTACAAAAAAAATCTATGAGTCAAGTCCTATTTGGAAAAAATTGTTGATAAATATTTGTAGGAGAGAAAATTAAAAAATAAAATAAATGTAATTTTTCATAAATTAAAAAAAACATCTATAAAACTTAAAATACATAAATTAATTTTATTTAGAAAAATTTACAATTTAAGGGGGTGTATTGGTTTAGGATTTCATAGGATTTTAAAAGACATTTTTTGAGTAAAAAAGTCCATTGATATTCAATCAAGATTTTATGTCACTTAAAAATAATCCACTAGTATTCAATATTAGGATGGCAAAACGGGCCAGCCCGGCCCGTTTTGGCCCGGCCTGCCATTGGCCCGCCAAAAACGGGGCGGGCCGGGTCGGCCCGCCAATGTAAAACGGGCTGGAGATGCTGGCCCGCCCCGCCTAAGGGTGGGCTGGCGGGCTGGCGGGCCAGCCTGCTTACAAAAATAAAAAATAAAAAAAAATGGAAAAAAAAATATTTTATGGTCAATTAAAAAAAGTTTTGCTACAAATAAATAAATATAATCATAAGAAATTAAAAATGCATACATATTGTACTTAATATATGTTCAACAAAAACAAATTACAAACTTAAAACAAAATCAAATAGAAATTAATTCATTTACACCAAAATCAAAACCAAATTATAAACTTACAAATTATTTATAAACTAAATTTTTTGATAGTCCACAAAACAAGTTTAAATACAATTAATTAACTTTAAATTTTTATTTTAAGAATATTAGAAGCTCTCTTGAAAGAAGTTATCTCTACTTTTTTTCTTAATCATCTTCATCCTCATCTTCTACATCAAAATAAAATAAACATAAAAATAATTAAATTAAAAAAAA